GACTCCTTCCCCTCCTACCCCACGTAAAATCCTACCTCCTGCACTCAGCATCCTTTCACTTCCCACCAAGCCAAACCCAGACGGTAGAGGTACCCCACAGTGTTTCCAAGCCTGTCCTGCACCGCATCTTTTACTGGAGCAGCTGCTGGTGAATTTGAACCCCATTAGTGGTGGGACACTTAACCTGCTGTGCCACTAGGGCTCCAGTAGAGCATAAGCTTTTTGTTTTCTGGTGTCTTTTGAGGGCCTACAACAGCGCTTTGCATATAAAGGGTGTTCAGTAAACAACCTGGTTGATTCTGGAATTGGCTGGTTCATTTATTTACCATCTCACGTCAGACTTATTTAGATCTCATGTCAGAGTAAGTCCCCTAAGGCAGGGAAGGTCCACATCCTGAGCCCTGTCGCCCCTATCCAACAATGCTGAAACACCGCGCCCCCCAAAACAAAAAACCAAACTCACTGACATGCAGTATGAGTAGACTCTTTACGGCAGTAGAAAGCCTCTTCTCCCTCCCGCAGAGCGACTGGTGGTTTTGAACTGCTACGCCTCTAAGGCTTTGGGGGTTACAAACATTTGGGAGCTATTCGTGTCATCTTGAAATTATTAAGCACACCTTATTTTCACAAAAAAGTCAAATCCCTGGGGAGCCCCTACCTCCAGCCGGCCTACGCATGCCCAGGGCAGGTCCTCTAGACCGGAAACTCCCGTTGGCCGTTTCCGCCCACCTCAGAGATACGGCTTCTACCCACATCAAAGATGGCGCACGCAGCGCAGATGACGCCAAAGCGGGCGCGGGTGCTGACGTCATCGCCTCGCGCCGGGAGCGTGGAGTCGGGCTGCCTGTGGTCCTCACGCGGCTGCATCTCTGGCGCATCTCCGGCTGGCTGGCGACTCCCGCGGCGGGGACGACATGGCGGAGGCCGCGGCCGGAGTGAGCCGCTTCAAGGCCAAGTGAGCTCGGGCCCTGGGAAAGCAGGCGGCGCCAGAATGGGAGCCGGGCGGAGGAGGGCTGAGGGGGTGCGTGGAGCGACGCCCATGGGGGTGTCCGAAAGTGGGCTTGGGCTGTACACGCCCGGTGCGCGGGGCCGGGGACGCCTGCGGCAATTCCAGGTGTGAGAGCTGGCCCCGATTGCTCCCGGGAAGGGCGGGACCAGAGCTGCAGGCTGAGGGAGCGTCCTGCTCGTTTGGGGGCGTGCAGCCGGGACGGAAGAAGATCGCAGAAAGATGTCCCGAGCACAGCTCGGGGCTCCGGGTGAAGGCCAGCATCCTGTAGCTGAAGCGAGTAGTATAAGTAATTAGGCCTGGAACAGAACAAGCTTCGCTCGACCCCTTCCCCGCCCCGTGGGGCTTCCCATGGGGTGGCCAGAACCCAGCCCGAGTGCCTTTCATTCGACTCCAACTCTAGGGTTTCATGAAATGAAAGCTGACAGTCTCATCTTTCTCTTAGGGTCTGGTTTAAACAGCCAGCCTGTCAGTTCTTGGCTGAGCACTTAATCACTGCGCCACCAGGGCTCCTGATGGTGTGGCCCATCACAGAAATCACTGCTACGCCAGGAGGGAACTGTGGTTGTTAAAAGCACCCCCCCACAAAAATCCAAACCTGCTGCCATCAAGTTGAATTCTTTTTTGTGACTGTGGATTACCAGGTCTTTCTCTCAATGTGGGCTGGTGGGTTTGAACTGCTGACTTTTGGTGTACTACAGCCAAGTGCTTAATCCGTTGTGACACCAGGGTCCATTTATATAAGAAGCACTAGTGAAAAGGGGTAGCCCTGGTGGCATAAGGGGTTATGCTTTGGGTTGCAGTCCACAAGGTCAGCAGTTCAAAACCACTAGTTGCTCTATAGAAGAAAGATGAGGCTTTCTACTTCCATAAAGAGCGACAGCCTCTGAAACTCACCAGGGCAGTTCTCCCCTGTCCTATAGGGTCACTGTGAGTCAGAATCAACCCAATGGCCATGAATTTGGTTTGAAGTAAGGAGGGGACCCAGCTGTTGAGAGCACACTGATTGTATGGCTAACTCTGTGCAGGGGACAGTGGCCTGGTTTTGTCTTGGGCATCAGGCTTCCCTGATCCATGTGCCATAGACAGTGACACTGGAAAGAGAGACCCAGGTCTCACACTAGGAACCATCTGTTTGGGACCCGGAGGCAGAAAATGGAAAAACTGACCTGGCTGGAGCAGTGGGGTTTCAGGGGGCGGGAGGACCAGGAGAGGCTTACACAGTCCCCGTAGGCTTGTAGAGCGAAGAGGGGGGTAAATGTTAAGCAGAGGAGGGAAAATGCTGCAGGGGGTGGGGTGGGGTGAGGGAGGTTAGAGCAGCTGAGTGGAGGAGGTGGTTGGGAGAAGGATGCTCTCAGTCCCATGTCCAGCTCTGGTTCCCTCAAGACCCACTCAGCTCTGTGCCTGGGGTCTCTGGGGAGCCTGGGCCTGATCCAGCCTCTGCTCTTGCTTTGGGAACCCACGGGGGTCTCCCTGCTCTAACTTGAGGTGACTTAAAGCCCATCTGGATAACTGTCTCTGTGACCCAGGACACCCCCCCCCTCTCTCTGTGCCCCGACTGCTGCCCAGGAGCAGAGCTGGGCCGAGTTGGGGACTGGAGGGCAGGTGCTTCACTTGCTCCCCTATCCTCCTTCCAGCTATGCCGTCCAGCACAAGATGGAGCCTTTCTACAAGGGCGGGAAGGTGCAGGTACTTCCAGGGAGGCCTGGGAAGGGGGAGGAGGGGCTGGCGGGTGAGGAGCACTGCCCCGCTGACACCCGTTTGTCCCCAGCTGGATCAAGCCGGTCAGCACCTCTTCTGCATGTGTGGCACCAGAGTCAGCGTGCTGGAGGTGGCCTCGGGGACTGTGCTGCGGAGCCTGGAGCAGGTAAGGGGCTGGCCCATGTCAACGCTGGGGAAGGTGGGCGTCCTTATGGCACAGCGTGTCCTCACAGCCCTCTGCGCCCGATCTTAATTCCAGGAGGACCAGGAGGACATCACTGCCTTTGACCTCAGCCCCGATGACCAGGTATGTGCCTGGGGAGGGGAGGAGGCACTGAGCCCAAGAGTGAGGTGACTGGGCCACCTGCACATGGTCCTCTCCTCTCCCAGGTGCTCGTGACAGCCAGCCGGGCGCTACTGCTGGCCCAGTGGGCCTGGCGAGAGGGCAGCGTCACACGCCTGTGGAAGGCTGTGCACACAGCCCCTGTGGCCACCATGGCCTTTGACCCCACCTCCACGCTGCTTGCCACAGGTAGGCCCTCCATGGGGCAGGGAGAGGGTGTTGGGAGCACCCACCCCTCCTCTCAACCACATCTCTCGTAGGCGGCTGTGACGGGGCTGTGCGTGTCTGGGATGTTGTGCGGCACTACGGGACACACCACCTGCGGGGCTCAACCGGCGTCGTGCAGTGAGTAGGGTAGCCGGGAGAGACGGGCAGGCACCGGGGCTGCCCTGAGCTCACACATCCATCCCCTCCAGCTTGGTGGCCTTCCACCCGGACCCCGCCCGCCTGCTGCTCTTCTCCTCCGCAGCCGACGCCACCATCCGTGTGTGGTCCCTGCAGAGCCGGTCGTGCCTGGCCGTGCTGACCGCCCACTACAGTGCGGTCACCTCTCTGGTCTTCAGCGCTGATGGCCACACTATGCTCAGGTCAGCAGACTGACCCCTGCAGGCAGAGCGGGGCAGGAAGGGGGGAGGAAGGCCCAGGTGCCTCCTGACCCAAGCCTCATCTCCCCCAGCTCTGGCCGAGACAAGATCTGCATCGTCTGGGACCTTCAGAGTCACCAGAGCACGAGGACAGTGCCCGTGTTCGAGGTGCAGTGCCAGGGGCAGGTGTGCTGGGGCAAGTGTGCCGGGGAAGGGCCTGGTGGCAGCTTCTGATTCTCCGGCTCGGTTGGTCCCCAGAGCGTGGAGGCCGCGGTGCTGCTGCCAGACAAGCCCATGCCTGAGCTGGGCGTGAAGTCCCCAGGCCTTCACTTCCTGACAGCCGGCAGCCAAGGTAGGTTGGGCCAAGCCTCCTGGGTGGGAGCTAGAGGGAAGGGGGGCAGTGCAGAAGGGCGCTGGGTCTGCCGGTCCCAGCCCCTGGTCCCCTCCCAGGTTTACTGCGAGTGTGGGAGGCAGCATCCGGAAAGTGTGTGTATTCGGAGCCCCGGCCGCCTGGTCCCGGGAGGGAGCTGACCCACTGTGCCCTGGCCCCGGCCTCCGGTCTGCTGCTCAGCGTCACTGCCGACCACCACGTGCTGCTCTATGAGGCTCATTCACTGCAGCTGCGCAAACAGGTGAGCCTCATCCCCACCCAGCCTGCCCCGCACACACACACCCACACCCACCCACCCACCTGGACCCCACCTTTTTCTCCGTCTCCCCCCAGTTTGCTGGCTACACAGAGGAGGTGCTGGACGTCCGGTTCCTGGGCCCCGAGGACTCACACATCGTGGTGGCTTCCAACAGCCCCTGTCTGAAGGTGTTTGAGCTGCAGACGTCAGCCTGCCAGATCCTGCATGGCCACACAGGTGTGCAGCTCTCGGGGCCCAGGCTATCCCACTGACCCCCTGACCCTCCTCTGACCACCCCACCCCTCCTTCCAGATATCGTCCTCGCCCTGGACGTGTTCCGCAAGGGCTGGCTCTTTGCCAGCTGTGCCAAGGTGAGGCGTCCTCAGAGGTGGGGGGGCCGGTCCCCTGGTGGGTGGCCAGAGCTGTCCCCTCAGCCCCTTCCCGTCCCCAGGACCAGAGCATCCGCCTCTGGAGGATGAACAAGGCCGGTCAGGTGGCCTGCGTGGCCCAGGGCTCTGGGCACACACACAGCGTGGGCACCGTCTGCTGCTCCAGGTAGCAGGCCGGGAATGGGAGGGGTAGACGGGAGGGCTGGGCGGAGGGAGGCCCAAGTGGAGGGCTGGGTCTCATTTTGGGTGGCACCGGGGAATAGGGTAAAAGGCTTGGGTACTACAGGCAGAGAACTTAAGAGGTGTCTGGTCTCCTGTCCTGCCCCCAGACTGAAGGAGTCCTTCCTCGTAACTGGCAGCCAAGACTGCACAGTGAAGCTGTGGCCGCTCCCCGAAGTCCTGCTGTCCAAGAGTTCAGCCCCCAGCGGGAGCCCCATCCTGCTCCAGGCTCAGGCCACACAGCGTTGCCACGACAAGGTGACCACCCTCGCCACAGGGCAGGACTGGGCAGGGCAGGGCAGGGGTCTGAGACAGCTCTTGCTTTACCCCATTCCCCAGGACATAAACAGTGTGGCCATTGCCCCCAACGACAAGCTGCTGGCCACAGGCTCCCAAGACCGCACGGCCAAGCTCTGGGCGCTGCCACAGTGCCAGCTGCTGGGTGTCTTCTCGGGCCACCGGCGTGGCCTCTGGTGTGTACAGTTCTCACCTATGGACCAGGTGCTGGCCACGGCCTCGGCCGATGGCACCATCAAGCTGTGGGCCTTGCAGGACTTCAGCTGCCTCAAGGTGAACTGCCCCCAGCCCAGCCGGAACCCCTCCCCCTCTCCGCCACTCGATGGACAGCACCTCGTACTGCCCAGACTCCCCAGCCGGCGACCCCTCCCCACCCCCCAGCCCACAGCGCCTCACGCTGCCCCTCCCACCCACAGACATTCGAGGGGCATGACGCCTCTGTGCTGAAGGCGGCCTTCGTGAGCCGGGGCACACAACTGCTATCCAGGTCAGCAGGCCGGCCCGGCAGCGTGGGATGGACATGCCAAGCTTGGCACTGCCCCTCCCCAGCCCCTCCCGCTCCCCTCTCCCCCTGCAGCGGCTCCGACGGGCTTGTGAAGCTCTGGACCATCAAGAGCAACGAGTGCGTGCGGACGCTGGACGCCCACGAAGACAAGGTCTGGGGGCTGCACTGCAGCCGGCTGGACGACCGGGCGCTCACGGGGGGCAGCGACTCCCGAGTCATCCTCTGGAAGGTGTGCGGGCAGGGCGGGCAGGTGGGCTGGGGGCTCCAGGGGGAAGCCAGTCTGACCCCAGTGTGACTCCAGGACGTGACGGAGGAGGAGCAGGTGCAAGAGCAGGCCAAGCTCGAGGAACAGGTGGTCAAGTAAGCCGGCCCTACCCCTGACCTTGCCCTTAGCCCATGGCCCCGTCCCTGCCTGAGTCACCATCGTGCCTCCCTGGGGGCCAGCATCACCACCACCACCACCATTATTACTAACATCACCACCACCACCACCATTATTACTAACATCATCACCACCACCACCACCACCATTATTACTAACACCCCCCGCCTGATGGCACTGGGTCCTCAAGGCCCCTCCTCGTTCCTCCCTCCCCCCAGGCAGCAGGAACTGGACAACCTGCTCCATGAGCGGCGCTTCCTGCGTGCCCTGGGCCTGGCCATCTCCCTGGACCGTCCCCACACCGTGCTGACCGTCATCCAGGGTCAGTGCCACCAGGCTTGGTGGGACGGGGACCCCCGGCAGCAGCTCCTTCCCCAGGGGGCTCATTTTCTTTCCTCCCTGCCAGCCATCCGCCGGGACCCTGAAGCCTGCGAACAGCTGGAGAACACGGTGCTCAGGCTGCGGCGTGACCAGAAAGGTCGGTGGGCCAGCCAGCGGGCAGGGCCGGGCTGGGGGCGGGGCTGACTGGCCATGCGGGGCTGACTGGCTGTCCCTGTCACCTGCAGAGGCCTTGCTGCGTTTCTGTGTCACCTGGAACACCAACTCCCGACACTGCCACGAGGCACAGGCCGTGCTGGGCGTGCTGCTGCGGCACGAGCCCCCCGAGGAGCTGCTGGCCTACGAGGGCGTGCAAGCCGCTCTGGAGGCCCTGCTGCCCTACACTGGTGAGCGGCCATCGGGACAGGGGCAGGGGGCAGGGGGCAGGCAGCGGGCCCCGACACCTGACCCCTCTGTCCTTCCCCAGAGCGGCATTTCCAGCGGCTCAGCCGGACTCTCCAACAAGCCACCTTCCTGGACTTCCTGTGGCACAACATGAAGCTGTCCCCTCTCCCCGCCCCCCAACCCTCAGAGACCACATAAAGGGTTACTCCCCAGCTGGCTCTGTACGCTCTTTGATCCCCCGCGCACCCCGCCAAGCCCCCCCAGTGAGACTATCCAGTCAAGGCCAGTCCAGGGCAGCTTTACTCAAGAGAAGAGAAATGAGGGCCCTGGACAGGAGGTGGCACCAGGCAGAGCAGCTGGCCAGTGTCAGGACCCTCAGGGTGCAGTAGGGCTCCAGGTTGCCCAAGGGGCTGGGCCAAGGCTCCTGTGGGGGCACAGAATCACCAGGCTGCTGGGGGAGGCGACTCACCATCACCCACATCACCCAGTTCACTCAGCTTCCCCCACCTCAAGCAATTATCAGATCTGAGCCACCCACCTTCCTGGCCAAGTATCTTGGTGGACGGGGTCAGCTGCCCTCAATTGCGGGCCGGTTCCATCCCAGCAGCTCCTCCCAAGAGGGAGCCCAGCCTGTCAGGCCGCAGGAACACAGCTGGCAAAAGGCCCTCCTGGCCTCCGTACCTGTGAGAAGGGCGGGGTTTGTTTAGGGCTCTACCTCACCCACTTCTGGGTGGGCAGTGCCCAACTCCCACCCTCGCACCTGCATAGCCACCAGCCCCGGTCTGACGTCTGCAGCACGTGAATGTGTGCCCCCGAGGGCACCGACAGCTCCTCGGGGCTGCAGCCCTCGTAGGCCTGGGAGATGTAGAGCCTCGGCCCTGCGGGTGGGATGGGGCCGTCACCTTCAGGCTCACATCACCTTCTTCTGATCACCCCTTCTTGGGTCCAGAGACGCAAGGCCTCGACCGCTCTGAAATCCATTCGGGGCTCCCCCAGCAGTGGGAACCCCAGCCACCCCTGCCCTAGCAGTGTTCCTGGGCATGGGGGCGGTGGAGGTAGCGCATGCATACCGCTGCTCCCCAGTGGCATGCCCTGCTCCTGGCCCGGGGCGGCCTCCTCCAGGTAGGGGGCAGGAAACCAGGCGGTTTGATTGTCCTCATTCTCCACCAGCCACCAGCCTGTGCGCCAGAGGTGCGGGTTCACATCCTGGGGCCTGCACATGTCCAGGAGCAGGTCCACCCCGTGTCCCCGCTCAGCCCCACCTGAGGGGTGTCGCAGCAGCACCCCCAGGGCCTCTTGCGCCTGCACCTGGAAGGGCCGGCCCCATGTGTCCTGGGTGCTGTAAGGCTGCAGGCAGTGCAGGTTCTGGGCCTCCACGCTGCGGATGTCTGGGCTGCCCTCCGGGGCCGGGAGAGACTCCTCCGGGACATGCAGGGTCACCAGGCTGGGGAGGACCGTAACCGACAGATTGGAGTGGACCTGCCAGATCCCAGCACCCCAGTCTGCTCTGCGGACCCCTCCAGGAACCCCCACGACTGGCTGGGAGTTGGTGGGCCAGGTACCTGCCATGTGGCAACCTGGGCTCCAGATCCAAGGGTTGGGGCTCGAGGAAACTGGTGACTGCTGGGCTCCGGGACACGTGCTCCACTGCCAGCAGTGCCCGGACATAGGCCTCCAGGAGCCGCAGGCGCTCCAGGCCACAGCGTGTGCCCCTGCCACGTGCCAGCAGCGGCACCTCTGTGGGCAGGACACGGGCAAACCTTGGGACCCCCCACCCAACACACCCTCGCCCTGGGCTGCCCCACCTGTGCCCCAGCTGACCCGGAAGCTTGGGGAGGACACAGTCGGATTTACGCAGCCTGCCTGCCTCCACCGGGAAGATCTCACGGAGCATCTTCTGTGGCGAGAAATGGCACTCAGGGTCGCCCTCCGATGGCAGGGCTGGGGCCAGACTAGAGGCTGGAAGCCACCTTGAGGCACTGGGGGGCGGGGGCAGCCCATGGGCAGAGGTCACCTGTGGGTCATGTGTCCCAGGGGGCCCAGAGTCACTCACGTGGATCCTCCTGAAGTCTTCTTGGCTCCTGCGCACTAGCGTGCCACCACCTTCCGCCCAGCACACAGAGAAGACGAACGTCTGATGGAGGAGAGGGTGGGGATCCTAGCAGGGGCCGTGCAGGCCTGTGCCTTCCTCTTTGGGGCTGCCAAGGACCCCAGCAAGTACCTGGGACTTCCCAGCCTGCACCAGGGCCACCGCCCTCACTGACACCGGCCGGGCATTCACCCTGGCCATAGCCCTGGTCCTGCTTCCTCCTGGGGGACACCCAAGCCTGCCAAAGTTCCCCAGTGAAGGTCCTAGCCAGCTGACCAGCTAGCTGCTCTGCCCCTGGGTCCTTAGCAGACTCCTCACTATCCCCAATATTGAGATCTGGGGGGCGGGAACGTGTGATTGGAAGGGTCAAACAGAGCAGGTGGGAGGTGCCCCGGAGGAAGGGGTGGTGAGCTGGGACTAAGCTGGTTGTGGGAGGAGGGAAGGGAAGGGCTGGCCAGCTCCCAGCCTGCAGCCTGCCAAACTCCTCCGAGGGAGGCGGGGTGGGGCTAGGGGCTGTCTTTCCCCCAGGCTCTACTACTGATCCAAGAGCATCCTTACCTAGTTCCTGGCTTTCCAGACTTCTCGCTGTGTTTGTATTTGGTCTGAAGCCATAGAGGAGGGAATTTGTGTGACATAGATGACTAAAGTTTTTCTGTATCCGTGATATGAAGTGGGCTCTGATGCCCCAAGTTCACCCTGTGTTAGGGAGACTTGGGGCCTGAAAGAAGAGGGGAGGTAGCAACCAGCCCTGCTATGGATACTGTATCTGAATTTGTGGATTGTTAACATTCACTGCAAAAGGTGCTTCACCCTGAGCCTTTGAGAGTAGAAGTGACCTATGCTGTGGGATGGACAGCCCTGGGCAGAAGCCTGCCTGGATGCCCATACTAAGGAGGGTGATTTGTGGACCCCATCCTACTCCCAGGAAGAACACAGCAATTCTACCTGTGTTGGAGCCCCGTCTCTTTAGGCTCCCTGTTCCCAGGCCTTCCAGGAATAGATCCGCCTCTGGGCCCTCCTTCAGACGACCTTTCCTCAAAGGGCCTTTGTGTGCCAGTCTGTCTGCTCCGACCCTTCCTGGAGCCCTTCCACTTGCCCTGGCCTCCACCCAGGTAATGAGCACCTGCTGACAGGTCTGAACTGAAGCCTGCTCTAGCTAGCTGGCACCACTGGAGGGATGCCAGTGACAGACAGTGACCACAGTGTACACGCCAGATCCTTCCCATCCACCTCCTCTCTACCCACCCAACTCCTGCCAGCCTCATCCCATGAAACTCCCTATATCAGCGGTTCTCAACCTGTGGGTCACGACCCCTTTGGGGGTTAAACAACCCTTTCATAGGGTTGCCTGATTCATAACAGTAGCAAAATGACAGCTGTGAAGTAGCAACAAAAATAATTTTTAAAATTGTTTTATTAGGGGCTCATACAACTCATTGTAATCCATACATACATCAATTGTGTAAAGCACATCCGCACATTCATTCTCAAAACATTTGCTCTCCACTTAAGCCGCCTCCCCATCAGCTCATTTTCCCCCCTCCCTCCTCCCTCGTGAGCCCTCGATAATTTACAAATTATTTTTTTGTCATATCTTGCCCTGTCCGACGTCTCCCCTCACCCACCCCTCTGTTGTCCATCCCCCAGGGGGGCTGTCACACGTAGATCCTTGTAATCGGTTCCCCCCTTCCAACCCACCCTCCCAGTATCTCCACTCTCACACTGGTCCTGAAGGGATCATCCGCCCTGGATTCCCTGTGTTTCCAGTTCCTAGCTGTACCAGAGTAAATCCTCTGGTCTAGCCAGATTTGTAAGGTAGAATTGGGATCATAATAGTGGGAGAGGAGGAAGCATTTAGGAACTAGAGGAAAGTTGTATGTCACATCGTTGCTACTTTGCACCCTGACTGGCTTGTCTCCTCCCCAAGACCCTTCTGTAAGGGGATGTCCAGTGGCCTACAATGGGCTTTGGGTCTCCACTCCGCACAACCCCCTCATTCACTGATATGATTTTTTGTTCTGATGCAATGAAAATCATGTTATGGTTGGGGGGTCACCACAACATGAGGCTCTGTACTAAAGGGTCGCAGCATTAGGGAGGTTGGGAATCTGGCCTCTGGTCCTTCCCCAAACCATCCAGCACCTTCCCAGCGCCTACAGAGGTCCTGGGTGGCAGGGCCTTGCCCACCGCTGTACTTCTGTCATCAGTATCCTGCGACCTCTGGCTCCTCAGCATATTCTTCAGACTTCTGCAGAAGGGTCATCTCCTCAGAGAGCCTTCCTGGATTTATCATACCTTGTAACTCCCCTCCCCCCCGCGCCCCGTTTGAAAGTGAACCTGTATTTGTGTGCCTATTTGTTGCTTTGTTTGGACCACTGGACTCCGCCATGAGGACGTCGGGGACAGGGTCTTGTTCCTGTTCTGCTCAGGGTCTGCAGCAGTGTTTGTTTGGAAAAGCAGATCGGCAACGATATTTGCAGAATGCATCGGTGACCAAATGCAAACCCCGTTCTCTAGAGTAGCTGCGATCTCCATCTCCATCAGGGCCCTGCCCCCCACCCCACCCCCTTGCCAAGACTCCTGGTGCCGGGGATGTGGGTGGGGTCCAAACCTCAGGACCAGGGTCCCGGTCCACGCACGCCCCCAACTGTGTGATCACGGCCCCGCCCCGCGTTGCTAGGCTCCAGGAGTGCGGGCGCCACGGGCGGTCAGCCTCCGGGTAGCCCGCCCCGCCGAGGGCACCTGCACGGAACGGGGCCGCGGGCTCGCAGGACAGTCGGGCCGCAGTGATGGGGCCGCCGCGAGCGCCCACCCGGACTTCACCGGCCGAGCCCAGCGCGCGGCGGCGCCGCGTCTTACGCAGCACGCTGCTCTTCGACAGGAGGAAGGGCACGCGTCCCCAGCTGTGCCCGGGCCCGAGGCGCAGGCCCAAGAACGCGGGTAGGTCGAAAGTCACCCGTGCCACCGCCGCCCGGCACCCAGCCCCGAGCCAGGCCACCGCGCC